AAGGCATGTGAGAATCTTTGACAGTTAAATGCACAGAACTACCAAATGTTGTGGTAGTGAAACGATTAGAGGCAGGAGAGGCAGGGGGTGGTGGAATTTGTTGAAGACCCTGTGCACCACCAGTCTGTGGTTGTGGAGGATACAGCGTTTTATACAATGGAAGTCCTTGTGGTGCAGCAGCAGGAGTAGGAGGCGGAGGAGGAGGAGGTAATGGTCCATGTGGGGCTGACATGTCTGGGCAAGGAGGAGGCACAAATCCTGGTGGAGGAATACGATGAAAATTCTGGGTTCCTGTATGTGAATGATGTTGCACATTATGCTGAGCATTTGAGTAACACTGTGATATTAAGGTACTTCCATGGCCTGGTGGAGGGGGGTGTAGATAAGATCGACCTGTATTTGGTATTCCACGGAGTGGAATAGGTGGACTTTGGTGAACAGTGGGAGGTGGGGGAAGAAAACCATGCTGATATAAATAGGGGCCCCGCTGACCTATCTGAGGTGGGACAACAGATGTAGCCTGCTGAACTACAGGAGGCGGAGGGGGTGGAGGTCCCTGTTGGTATTGAAGGGGAGGCGGAGGCAGAGCTGGTGGGCGCTGTTGGTTGTTTGCAGGTGTCATGGGTGTCCGAGGACCCTGCCCAAACTGATGGCTATAATTAGCTTGGCCATACATTGCAGATGGCTCAACTTAACAAATGCTTCCAATACTAAAAATCCCTCGCATGAAACCCAGTTTGCATAGGCTTGATCTTCAGCTTAAGCTTCCACATAAAACCTTAAAATCAATATGAAGCATATAAAGTGTGTAGTGAAAAGAAGATTAAAATAACTTTCTCCGAGAAAAAAAAAATACAACAATAAACTTCAACCAGTAACTATTGCAATGCTCGTGTATAATGCATTGAACTATGTGATACAAGTGTTTTCAACAGTATTAACCAGACATATATCAAATTTCATTTTAGTAATTACAAAAGAAACGAGAGAATACTAGCTTCTCAATTATGATTTGTTTCTCTTCTGTACCTCAAACCTACATTACAATCATTTTTACCTCTCAACTAACAGAGAACAAGTTTCTAGAATCGAACACTCACACCATGACACTCTACAGATCAAACTGCATCAACCCAATCAACTGTAACACAATTCTAACCACAAAATACAACATGGTGGAACGCAAAAATGGTCAAAAAAATTCGAAATTTATTTCTATAATCATTGCAGCATTCACTTTTCTCATATAAGAAGCAATGAGAAAAGCGTGCATCCAGTAAAATCCAAATTCTAACGTTTTCCCCCCCTTACCCACAATTCCTCGGCAACCAAACAACCAATAAGTAAAACACAGTTAAAAGCAGTGTCAAGCAGTCAATAATCAAGCTGTGTAACTTACCAAATCAGAGTGCGAGACAAACTGAAACCGTTGGCTTTAGAGGATTTGGAGGACCTGGAAATAAACCCTAAAAACAATTGGGAATTGAAGGTCTTGCTTTTGTAGAGCGTTTAAGGTTTTTCATCTTTCTCTAGCGAAGCCCGAGTAAGAGCGTGAAGATATATAAGTTCCGATAAACCCTTCCTCTTTGTGTTGTCTGCCTCTGGTTGGTACCAATCGGAAGTTCTAAGTTCTAACTCAGCATGAACTGCGTGAGAATAAGGAAAAGGTTACAACACTCTTATTTTCCAAAAATTATTTTTTTCTTTTCTTTTTTGGTCAGGACAAAAATGAATCATCCAAAATACAATTTCCCCCTTTTTTTTTCTTCTTTTTTTTTAAAAAAAATTTGTTTTTGGAGATAAATATTCATGTTCCCCACAAAATATTTTTGGTTAAATCTTTTTTTAGGCTTTCGAAAGATAAATAAATAAACAATTTCCTATGTGACTTGATAAAAAAACGCATTACACTCACATTCACCTATTATTCGGATTTATTATCATAAGTTTAGGTTCGTCTTATTGTTTATGGGACAACTCAAGTTTAAACTCAGGCTCAAATTAAACAATATTTCGATCTTGTAACTTATATTGGAGTTACATAAGGTTTAGGTTGGTAAAAATATATGAGTTTAATCTTAAGACAATTCTAAGTGCGTTTATAAGTATAACCATACTCTACCCTAACTAAAAGTCAAGTTGAGTATTGATCTAAGTTTGAGTAAAACTTGAGCCCTAATTCATAGTAGATTGGATGATAATAGTCGCAATTGAAATATTAAAATAAATCAAATTACTTTCAATTAATTGATATTTTCTTTTAATGTTAAAAGATATTTTAATTAGTTGAGCGGAGTTACCTCCACAATGGTTGTGGCCAGTAGCGGATCCAGGAATTTTTCAGGGGAGGGGCAATAATGATTTTGGTACTTCCCAATAAAAAAACATACTATGAAAACCAAACCCTTAGTTAATTTAAAGATTGATTAGCACGATAAAATAAATACAAAATTAATAATAAAAGCATATTATCACAGTAAAAAGATTAGATCAACAAACAAGTAGTATCAATCAAATCCTAATTAACAAAAACTCTAATATCAAATTGTGATTTGAGAGCATTGTGCAAGGACTTCTTCTTTTTGTTTTTTTTTTTTTTTTTTTTTTTTTTTTTTTTTTTTTTTTTATTGATGGGCTTCTTCAAATTTGGAGCATTGTGGGTAAGCCTTTTGGTATTACATTATTATTATTATTATTATTATGAAATATTTATTATAACAACCAAGTAATTGAAGCCAAACAATGAATCTTGAAACGGTTTGCACCAAAACCGAAGAGTTTGAATTTTTTTTTTAAACACTTCATTGAAACACGCGTTTCATTAAACATAAATAAAGGACGACGCCGTTTGTGACAAATATGAATAGGGTTGTCTTCTTCATTCGTGAACCAGAGCTCCATCAACGACACACCTCTGCAACTCCTCTGCAACACAATGCGTGCCTCAATCGTGTAACTTGCCATACGAATGGTGCCTTGATGTGATTTCAGGAGGCCTCAGATCGTCGCACTCCACGAGGTGCCCCTTGATAACACATTTTAAAACGCTAGAGAGCAAGGGACAAATCCAACACATCCATGGCTTTTTCCAACGAGGGGAGGTGCAACTGCACCTCCTTGTGCCTTTGTAAGTCTGCCATTGGTTGTGGCCTTCCTCCTTCTCCGTACTTCGCATCCAGGGTTTCTTTCTTCCTAGTGTAACAAAAAAAAGATATCTTAAGTACAAATCTTTCTTCTTTGGTGCTAAAGAGAAAAAAGAACACCTTCTTAATACTCTATATCACTGTAATATCAAAAATTAATTTAGTTGTAGGTCATGTAAGTATCATAGCAAGGACACGCGAGAAAAATAGTATCATCTAACTTACGAAAGAAAAGGCAACTTATTTTTTATTCCAAGCTAACAAATTTTGTATTGTAATAGTAAGTAATCAACTAATTTAATTGTTTGATGTCTGATTCGTATTACATCCTGTCTCAATAAATTTTATTGATTTGTTTGAATGTCGTGGTAATTATGGCAATAAGATGTATATTATTAGACATAAAAAATTTTAGGTTTTTAGGTTTTAGACATAAAAAATTTTCACTTTTGAAAAAACCCCAAATCTTTTTCAAAAAAAGACAAAAAAAACCGCTCAACTTTCAAATCAAAGACATGCAAATGTATGGATTCTTAGGAAATCTAAAATAAATAAGGGCATTTTTGTCCATTTTTGCTTCTTTTAAATTTTTCTCTCTCCTTTGCTTTTTCCAAAATGTCCCTATTATATATACTACACTAATATATATATATTTTTTTTTCTTACTACAATTTGAGATAAAATGTGACAACTAATAATTTCGAAATCAATATAAAAATTTATAGATAGTAAAAGATCCAAATAGCGGAAAATAAAATATCTAACAAATTAGGAATCGCACCCCTTCTGTTTAAAGATTTGTTTTTGAAAATATCTAACAATGGGCCCCACATGCCATTTGAATTTCACTATATATACTAAGTGTTGCCGCTGGGAGTTACTACCTAGTGCTCACGACCCCAGATCCGATCCAAAATCCGCAAAGCACAACACAGGTGAGCCGCCTCTCTCTCGCTCTCTTGTTTGTTTCTTGAGAAAATGTGGGAATTCAAATGATCAAAGTCATCTGAACTTAGTGAAACGGAATTCTGGGCTTAGAATTTGCTCTAGATTTTGTGGATCTGTATCGTAGCCCTGGTTTTAATTACATATATTGAACATTGGGGTTTACACTTGTGCTTTTACTATGGAGTCGCCTCTTCTGTTCTTCTTGTCGAATCTTACTGTTATTAATTTTTGTGGTGTATTATGATTTAGTGTGTTGGTGTTTGCATGGTTTGAAATTTCAAGTACATATTATTTCTATGAATTTACAGTGTGTGGGGGTTTTTTGCCTCTTTGCTTGGTCCCTCGCTTGAACTTTTCAGATTGCAGATGTGTGAGTTTTCTTAAGCTATCTAATTGCAATATGTTGAATCCCATCTGTTGTTACTGTTTTCAAGTCAAATTTAAGTCAAATTGCGGACTCTGAGTTCAAGTTAAATTTGGCTGTGACATGGAGATTTCATGTTCAAGTGCTGTTTGTAGATTAGTGAAATTAGATATGAGATTCCGAGTTGCATTTGTTCTTGGTAATATTGGGTTCTTAGTTCTTACTCCCGTTTAACCATTTTTTTTGTTTTAATTTAAAATAATTGAGGCACATATAAGGTGTAGTCTTTTTCCCCCATTGTATACTGTTGTGGTGTTGATTCTGGAGAGATGGATTGTGGCTTAAGAGCACATAATGTATCAAACTCTGAACTTGATTACAAGATTAGAACAGTTTAATGTGTGATGGCATTTTCATGCTTCTTATTGTGATTCATTCAATGCTGAAGACTTTTAGTTGAAATTGATTTAGTTTCATTTTTTTTTGTTTATTTATAAATTGGTTAGAAATATTTGTGCAGGATTCATTCACTCTAGGCGAAAAACATGGGTCGTGGAGTTAGCAGTGGAGGGGGAGAGAGTTCTTTGGGATATCTTTTTGGAGGTGGAGAAGAAATTAAAAAACCCGCCCCAAAGAAGGTTGATGCTCCTCAGAACCAGGCGCCAGTTCCAAGCACTGAACCACCTTCTCAGAAGCCTACTGCTCCAACAACACCTGCAGAAGTCAATAAGCAGACTCCAGCAGGCGTTCCTGGGAACACTTCAAACAACTATTTCCGAGCAGATGGCCAGAACTGTGGCAACTTCCTCACGGTATGATCTTGTTCATAGTCATTATTTTCTCTGAATCAAATATCTATGCTTTAAAATTTTGAAGTTGTGACAAACAATATGAGAGAGTATTGATGGGGGTATGTGCCACATCTGCCTTTAGATGATATTCAGGCCTCTTGGCTACCTTAGCTACCTTAATGAAGATGTTTCTTTACTGAATAGTACCTCTGCTTATTAAGAATTCTATCTCCTATGACATTTCTAGAAATCCATGGTTTCTGTTTTCCTCGTGAAGAGGTTGTTGGCTAAGATTTGTGATTTGCATATTGTAGAATGTTGTGACAGGAAAGAACCAATTTTCTTGACATAGAAAACTTTTGTTACCCTGTATTTTTGGATATTCGTGGTATAATTTTGAAAATGTGCTTGACAGGATCGGCCATCGACAAAGGTGCATGCAGCTCCTGGTGGTGGATCATCCCTAGATTACCTTTTTGGAGGCGGTAGCAAGTAAGGCCCGGGGCCATTGATGTTGGAATCGTCAGTTTGGTTTGGTCCCTCTGTAATATGGACCCTCTGTAGATGGTTTCTTTCTAATATGCTGTAATATTCTAGTACTTCCTGCATCGGGGAATGTGTTTTTTATTTTATTTTTTTGGTCGAATGTGTTGGGTTTGTGCTTTGCTACTCTGTTAAACTTCCAAATTTGCGTATTATTATAGAAGCTTCTTAGAGTATCTCCGATGGATATAAAATGGATCGAGTAGTTAAATTTTACTTGAATTTGAAGGCTAAAAGAGATATGTCAAAAAGCTTGACATCAAATATTATTTTGATGTCTCATATTCGTGTATATGATAGGGATATCATTTTAGTTGACCTAAATAAAGGAGTTAATATGAGCACTGCCTTGTTAAAGCGTGAAAGAGTTTTCCCATGGCAAATTAATTTGAGCTGAATACAAAATTAATGACTGGTTGATTATTATTTTGCTTGCTTAGTCTCAGGACAACAGTCCAATTAAACCAAACAGGACTATAGTCCAATGAATATTTAGTTAGTTTCTAATTTGTTGAGCTTTTCCCGGGCTGAAGAGGGCATAGAAGTAATTTCGGAGCTGTTATAAATAGCTATTTCGCTGTAAATCAGCAAACCCAGAAACCCAGACCAACTGCCATGGAATTTGCTTTCCTTCTTCCCGCCCATCCAAAATTTTTGATAGGTACCAGTACAAAGTATTGCAAAACAGAGAAAAGGAAACTGACAAAATAAGTATTTGGCAAAGTTCTATATCCCTTTCTCATTGATGCAGTAGCATTTTATACATGAGGTTGTTAGGGCCAGCCTGTAGGCTGCCACGTAAGAACAGGTGAACAGCTAATAAAAAATGATAGAATGGCTAAAGTAGCCTTTGAGGAAACATAATATATATATATATAAAGCAAATGTAGATAATTGTGAAACATTCAAAATACTAGAAAATGTCATTTGTTAATCCAAACATTAAGAATTAAAATTATTTATTAAATAAGGATAATATGGTAAATTCACACATTAAAAAAATTAAAATTAAAAAAAAAATCAGATAATAAATTCTATTTTGGGGAACACAATTACCCATTATCTTTTTTAATTCTAAAATAAATTTAATTTTTGTTTTAAAAAAATGCCTCTCGCAGGCGCACAAGCGCGTGCGAAGAGGCTAGTGGTAATAGTTAATGACTAGGCTGGTAGGCATTCGTCCATGAGGACCAGGGATTCCATCAATTCCTACCCCCTTAAGAAGGAGCATGTCCTCATGCGACAAAGGAGGGAAAACGAGCCAGTATGTCATTTGCGATTTCCCAGGTGGCGTCGGCCTGTTGTAGACCAACCCATTTGATAAGCCATTGAACAACTGGACAATTGTTTTGTTTGATGAGACGACAGTCAAGGACTGATTCAGGCAGCCATTGGAATTCGTTGCCGGCAATTGTAGATGGAAGATCAGGGGAGTGAAGAATGTTCTGACCCAATTTAAGCTTGGAAGGTGGCAGCTGTGAGAAAAACGAAGGGGAGAGGGAAGTTGTCGTGTGACACAGGAGAGAGAGAGAGAGAGAGAGAGAGAGAGAGAGAGAGAGAGAGAGAGAGAGAAATCAGATTTTTACCCAAACTCTTTTCGAAATAATTACAAGTTTGCCATTAGACTACTTTTGATCGCCAAATCTTCATTACAACTCCGATTCAAGCCTACCGCATCTCTACAAATTCGTCTCAGCATGACCTACGTAGCCATACCACTCATTGTCCCAAAATCCTTCGGGATAAGAAAATGACCATTTACCCTTACCCCCAAGGGTAGATTCGTAATTTCACTTGAATAAATTAAATATGGGATTAAATTTGGAGTCAGGGTGTTACAACTATAGACATTTTTGGTAGTTAAATAAGGTGTACTTAGTTAAATTTACATATTAATTTAAATATTAGGATATACTCTCAATTAATTTTAAGGTTCATTTAACATCATTTTTTTTTAATCTTACAATTCTATTATTGATCCTTTTATTATTGTAATTTGTAACGAATTGGATTTTGCAGTCAGTTTTTAATTGCAGAAGGGATGAAAATGATTACATTTACTCACGAGATAGACAGAAGAACTAAATTGGCTAATGGTAGGCTACAATGACCGATTTGGCGAATAAGGTAAACCACATTGTTTGGACCAATTTTTGGTATATTGGCAATTTCTTGTTACAAAAACATAGAGTAGGTCTTTGAGTGTAACCTACAGTTTTCAAGTGACATTCTGCTATCCTGGATCAGTGTGGCTCAAAGACAATGCCAAGGTATGTTTTGCATCCATGCATTCATATTTTCATATTTGCTTGATCATCAAAAGTGGCTGTAAGATATACATGACTGATATATGATTTCAGTCTTATATAATCCAGTGCCAGACATCAATGAGTTTTTTAACGATGGTTTTATATTCTTTAGATTGATGCTTATTTAAGCAAAATGGCTCTTTTGTCTTTTCAGCTGGGTTTTTAATTAAGTGGCTTTATTTGTTTTAAAGAAATAATTTATTTGTTAAAAAGCCCATTTTTGCTAAAAGCCTTTTTTGGTCTCTGACCTAGTTTTAAGCGTGTAATAAAAGAAAGGAACTTAGCCTTTTTGTTGGTGTGTCACATTGAAAAAGAAGAAGAACAACAAAATATTTGCAGAGAGGTTTTTGAGAGTTCATATTGAAAACTCATGTGGCTGTTCCTTGTTAGCCTCCATGAGTGATTAAATAATCATCTTTTCATATATGTGTGAGTTCATGAGCATTATGCATGTTGGTGATCAACAATCGTGCCTTGAGGTGTGAGCAGCCGAGACTAGAGTTGTGCCATCTCTTGTTGACGAAGGAAGACAAGATCGCTGGTTGGGTTGAGTAGCAAAGGCGAGTAGGCAAGTCTGCCTTGTGAGCGTTAGTCTTGTGAGTTGAGACTTGTAAGACCTTTTTGTATTCTTTCTCATAGTGATTTGTTCTCCGACATAGTGCCCGCAGTTGTTTTCCTCATCTTGAGGTTTTTTACTGCGTCAACATATCGTGTGTCCCCTGTGCAATTGACTGTTTGAGTTTATTCTGCTGCGTATTATGGAATTTTTTGCTTATAGGATTGTTACAGTATTTCAATCCTGTCGTGGTGTTTGAGTATTAAGAAACAGATCAGTTGGCCATTCTAGGGAATTTCACACATGGACTGTTTTGGTATTCAATTCAAAATAATAATACTACTCCCAAATTTTTTTTTAGTACAAACGATAGTCTTAGTACAAATAATAGTCTAAACTACTAGAGAGGAATTGTAAAAGGCATTAGTGACTGCTCTATAGGACGCAAAGTGATGAGGACGAATTTTTTTTGGAGGTGTCAATGGCCCACAGTTTTCTTTTTGGGTTAAATATTCTTCTTCCTCTATCATCCATCACACATAAATGTAATGTTATACACATATTACTTTACATAAAATGATACTTCTTAAGCCAGGTTAAAAGAGAATTTTTTTTCCCCCAATGGTTTAAAGAGATTGATAAACTAGACCCAGCATCAAAAGTATTAAACTGGAACCTTCAAAGAAAATTTTCTAGGTATTCATTTCCATCAGAACGAAGATTGCAAAAGATCACAAGAGAAGTAAATTTAAGACATCTTTTTCATCTCATGGAGATAGAGCCAGCAGAAGAATGTGGATAACTGCAATTGCCATTCATTCTTTTGCTAAAAAAGGGAAGCAATACCTATAAGAGTCACCAAATTCTGATAAGCAAAATATTTGCCATATAATGTATGAAGCTGTTCATTTGAAATAGCAACTAATCAATAATCCGCCAGGTTTAGATGTGAACTACATAAAACTAGAATTTTAGACCTAGGACTGTTAGGAGGTGGCAGATCACAAGAGTTGGAAAATTCTGTATATCCCCTGTCATATGCATCTATGATCACCTTGAGATGATGAATGTACAAATAGCCGGCGGTTTTCCGTTTTGGGTTATGTTCAGAAGCATTCCTCAACCACACTTTTTCAAACAGATGTGGATTCACTGTGTCCTTCAGCTAGTTTCCTGCCATCTGTCATCACAAAATTGGACAGCCAATCAGCTCATCACTTATCTTCAAGAACACATGAGTTTAAACGAAGAACCAGCTTAAAATACATTAGGTTAAAATCTACAAAAAGTGGAGATACAAATTTGGGGAAGGAAAAACCTACAAAAAGCAAAGACGTACAAATTTGTTTCTGACAGTATCTGCATTTAAGTCTCTTTCATTGCTTTCAAACAATTCACTATAGTAGCATATGCATCAATGCTGATGAGCCCGTAGCAAAGCCAATTAAGTAATAGAATAATCATTACATTCCTACCTTGGTTTCGGTATGAGCTGACAGTCGTATTTTCTGTGGCAGATAAATTTTCCTTCATAACTTCAAAGTCAAAATTTGGTGCATCAGTTGTCCTGTGACTCCCGTCTTCTCCCACAACTTCAGTGTTAAAGTTTGAAGCATCATTTGTCTGATTATCACCCAGATTCAATGGAGTCACTGACTGATGAAGATTGAAGGTGAAACATAATGAAGCGAAGAAAAAGTGCGTAAAGTAAAGGTGCTTAAACTTAAATTTAATTTAAAGACAAATGCGTAAAGTAAAGTGCGAAAGATAAATAACACAAAGACGAGAATTAAAGTGCGATAAAATGAATCAAAGCGATAAATAAAGCAAGAACGAAATGAAAGTGATAAGAACAATAAAGTAAAATGAACTTGAAATTAAACTTAATTGAAGTGCGATAACAATGAAAAGTAAAGCAATTGAAATAAACTTGAATTTAAATTACAAGAAAATATAAATTGAACGAGAATTTAAACTTATACTAAGAAAAGGAAGAACTGGCTACACTAAGTGCATGAAAAGTAAAATCCTAAGTCTAGGAAAAGAAAAGTGGGAGATGAAAAATAGGTTCGTCTGTCTAATGTTGTG